CATATTTGGTTCAGGGTACCAGCCTGGAATTCCCTAATGCCACCTTCCACATACGTGAAGCCTTCTATTGCACGAGCTGTAATGTAATGTACGCCATCAACTGCAAGAGATGTGGCATTAAATACATCGGTGAAACGGGTTTACGACTGGCTGACAGGTTTAGACATCTTTTGGACGGGCAGAACGGCGCCCTGAAAATAGTACCACTGAATTTCAATTCCCAGGACCAACAAGGCGTTCATGACATGAAGGTGACAGCCATTAAATCTAGCCACTTCAGCGATAGAGTTCACAAGTCTCTAGAAAATCGCTTCATATACACTTTGGGAACTTTGGCGCCCAGTGGACTAAACTGCCAATACAGCTTCCTCTAAATCCTAAAGGGCTTAACTGCCTACACAGTTTAATCTTATCCTCGTGTGTCGGCCCCTGGCATATCCCCAGATATGTATTTTTCCGGCCCTACGTGCCTTGCCATACAATTGTCTTGACATCGACCTGGCTGCCACGAGATATCAAAACAAGTTATATTGTGTATTATTCTCTAATCTATGTATGTGCTGAAGAAGGCTCCACAGCGGCAACGTTTACGTTTTGGTTATCTTTGTTAAATTGTGAAGCTTTCTGTCATATACTTTTCGTTCAGTTTTATATCTTTTCCTGTGTGTATGCTAGTGCTTGCATGTGTTCTAGTATATATGTATATGTGTGTGATATTGCACATGAATGGGTATATTAGCACGTGTCTATACATTTTGGGTGTGTACATGTTAACAGTTCTTCTTCATCACGTTCATTGACTGTAAACTCCAGCCTAAAATTGTGGCTGTTTGTCCACTTCTGGACTACCCTTGTTCCTGAACTTGAATTTTGCTGCACATCAGTTTTACAGACCTGGCTTTCTGTATGCTGACTGTTAGTTCCTTGCCTCTCAGACTCTAAAGAAAACCCCATAATTACTAACTTGCGATGTGCTTGTTAGGGAGTGATGGAGCTGTTCTTGGTTTCCCCCACAGTAGAGCCCAGGAACCTACATGCGAATGGTAACAGTTCAATTTATCAACTGAAACATTAAAACTGAGACATATTTTTCTGTCTGCACACCCACACACATAAATGATAGACCCTTTCTATAACAGGGTACTGAGTATATGCTGCTAGCCTGTCAGATACCTGCATACCAACTTAAAGGTTATGATCTAAAATTTGCAATTTTCTAATTTCTAATCATCTTCTTCTTAGGGCTCACCGGCTGTAAACTCCAGCATAAAGTTCTGGTTGTTCGTCCACTTCTCGACTTCAGTCTTGTTCCAGAACGTGAGTTTTAGGTGCACGTCCATTTTACAGATCTGGCTTATTTACATGCAGCCTGTTGCTTCCTCACCTCTCAATACTCAGACTTTGAAGGACACACCCCTAATTAGCCACTTTCTATGATATGCTTGTGGAGGAGGGGGGCAGTAGATCTATTCTTTTTTTCTTCCAATGGGGCCCGGCAATCGATGAGGGAATTTTCTTATTTTATATGATCGACCTTGGCTCACAAGATAACAGAGTCTAAAATAGGTATAAGGAAATGTCTTGGCAAATAAAGAGGCGGGTATGATGTTGACTACGTCACTTATTACCTATTGATTGGTCTAACAAAATACTGGGCAAGCCTATGCCAACTAGTGTTAAGTGTTCTAAATGTTTTTCACCAACTGGCATGGGCGATCATTCCTCACTAGAAATCTGCCATCTTCAGCTGCATGTATCAGTTTGTGTAGTGACACTCCCCATGCCATGACAAAAGGCTGCCAAGAATTTTCTTGCATTGTCTTCCTATCTCTCTTTCCAAAGATCTTGTTATGGTCATAACATGTTGCAGCTTCCTTCTTCAAATAACATTAATTTTAAAAAATTGACTATTTCTTTCTTAATAAGTCATCTTCAAGCCCTCCCCTCTTTCAAAACATCTTTGCTATTTTTGTCTGTCCAACAAATTCTAAGGATTTTTCTGTAAAATTTCATCTTTGAGGCTTCAAGAAACTGTTTGGCTTGTTTATTTAGTGTCCAAGATTCACAGACATATGTTAAAGCTAGTTCTATATAGCATGCACGAATTCTTTTGCTAAACTCTAATAACATGGATTTATTGCACAAAATGTTCTTTTTTTTAAAAATAAAATACAGTTTTAACCTGTCCTTTTCTGTTCTTTATTTCTGTAATATATCTTCTGTCCGATGTTCAGCCAGAAGAATTAATTTTGATTTTCCACTGAAACACATGACAGACGTTTTAAACATAAAAGTAATAACGGAATAAATAAACATTATTATTTTTATGTTTTAAAGAAATGATTACATAAGTGTAGATTTGTTTACATGAAAAACTAAGATACCTCCTGAAAATAAGACCTCATATGTCATATATTTTGAAGCAACTATTAATTTAGGAACAGGTCTTATTTTAGGGGAAACATTGCAAGCTTGTTTTAGAGCAGTGGTTTCCAACCTTTTTCAGATCGCGCCCTCCTTGAGTATACTGCAAGACCCCCACATCATCCTTGAGTATACTGCAAGACCCCCCCCCCCTCCCCCCACACCATCCTTGAGTCTTGCAAGACCCCCAACCACCAACACAACAAAATGTGGCCAATTAAAAACAAATTCCACAACACAGGAAACAGAGTATGGAGATAGATTTTGGTCAGAATGTTTTCATAATCTATAATTAAAGGTGCATGTTATCACATTAATTAGATTTGTAACTGTAGATATACAAACTGCTTGAGAAAACAAAGAAAAACTTCTTCGGCATTATATTTTCTTTAAATAGTCCTTAAAAATGTACATTTTATTTCAAATTAAATTACAAAAATTATATAATGCATTATTAATTATATACAAATGCACATAATTTCAAAATTGCTTGACACCCTCTTGAAACCTCGTTCCCCTCCCCCCTTTTTCCCAGGCTGCAGACCACTGTTTTAGAGATTTGTTTGTTTCATATTTATGATGATGTGGTAGTCCAATGTTTCTAGTGACTGGTCACTATCATATTGACGTTTTTATTCTTCTACAGAACCTCTTTTATGACAATACACTGAATTAGAGTCAGATTAATCAGAAACACCTCAATGCAGCAACCATATTATTTCAAATAGAAAACCATTATACATGTAGGTAAGTTCACTAACTACTAATACAAGTGATATCTTAAGTGACTATCGTATGAGGATTAACAGAAAACACGTAAATTATATGAGCCCGTTATGGTACAAATGAAAACTAAAAAGCATTAAAATCCCATTCAAAACTCTCATAATTTAACTTACTCCAAACTGTAAAATACACATTTCCTAGTTATTCCAAACTTAGATATCTCCAAAATATGCACTTTTCACAAACATAAGCAAACCAAAGATTCTTGATACTTTAATTCTCATTAAAAATATGTTTAAGGAGCCTTGGTGGACTAGCAGCACGAAGCTTGCCTTCTGGACTAAAAGTCCATCATCAAGGCGGATTTTTTTCAAAACTGACCTCAGCGCCCAGGCTGACCCAGGCTAAAATTGGAACCAGGAAATGTCATGAGAAGTCAAGGCTGCCTGCAGGATGCTGACCATATTACCCATTGACTATCAACTGGTCTATAAAAATATAGGTCTAGTACAATATGCCTGACTGAGCCACTGGAATGAAAATGGTCATTTAGATAAATATTTACAAACTGTCACATCCTCTTCCCCCTAATTGCTTCCAGTGCCTTTTTGGGGAGGGGAATGTACCCACATCCCCAGTAACAAAAATGTTATAAATGTCAACTAATTAGGAGTTTATTGTAAATCGAAGTGCACTTGCCTGTGTGGAGAGGAACCAACATTCTGCTCACAAATAAGATCTGTAAAGTGGATGTGTACTCAAAACTCAAGTTCTGGGACAAGATTAAAGTCTAGAAGTGGACAAAAAAACCAGAACTTTTCCGCTAGAGTTTACAGCTGGCCAACGTGAAGAATAAGAAGAGGAAACCCTGGAATATTCCATTTTTGTAATCTTTTACTGGTGAAGACCATACTCCCTTCCCAGACCATACTGATTGTTGGTGAACCCTCGAAGACACAGAAATAAAGAAAATAAATTTACACAGAAGTAAAGGAAAGAAACAGAGATTAAAGAACACATCAGACAGCACAAAAAATAAAAGCTGTAATGACCAGTGTGTCAAAGCGAACTTGTTCCTTACAAGCCACTGTCATTATTTGGAGTCGACAAGTTTTGAATTCTGGTGAGGCTAGTATACCTCTCATTATCCACGCCATCTAGTGTCCTATAAACTTCCCTCTACCTCTATAAGTGCTAATCAATTTCTCTGAATTTATTTCTCGTGCAGACCTGAGACTCTATGAGGCTTTGTAAAATGCATAACTTTTTTTTTTATAGATTATAAGATGCTATGAATTATAAGATTTATATTTCTTTTCATCATTAATTTTCTGGAGGGAGGACATAATAAGATTTATCGCTAGTTTATAAAGACAATTTAAAAAAAAATGTTTTATCATCAATTTATAAAAATTACCTTTTAAATCCGCAAAGCAACCATCATCTGAACTTTCCCTTTTCTTTATCAACTGTTATCATCATCTATCTTCCTTCACCAGAAGCCAACCTCTCAAAAATGCTACAGGCAATCTGATATCATTGTGAGCACCCACTGAACACAATAACCATACATATACTGGTAAAATGTTGCTGCCAGTTAAAAACCAATGAAGAAAGATGGCAAAAAGTCTTCTAATGCATCAGAAATCTGGCCTCCGAAAGACTACTGGAAAAGCCGGAAATTTGAATTTAATCACCAGAAATTAGATAATCAGTTTTAAGTTTTAGGTGAACTGAACTTTTGCAGGTTTTTTCATAAACAAAAAAGTATGCCTGATAGTCCGTAAAATATGGTACGTTGTAAATTATTTTAAAACCTATATATTCTTTTCCTACAAAGAAAGGGCAATTCAGTGTTGCTTCCTTACAAATCCCTCTCCATTACCAAGATCCTGAGCAAGGAGCTGAGCTGGAGGTGGCGAGTCTTGACAAGTTTTATGGGACTGCTGCTGCAAATCGAAATCTTCACAGAGATGTTCAAACATGAGCTTAACCAGCCTTAGGATGAATGCATAAAGTGAATACTTCAGGATTAAAGCCCCAAACCCCCGGTAGAGGCCAGGGAGACCCTCTTCAACAATGATGGAGCGGAAACAGTTGACAAATCCTTCATACTGGGTGTTGACGGGTACCACACCAATGCCTGTGTCGGTGTTGTCTATGATGGTTCTTGTTCCCTGTAAATCAAAGAAATAAATTTTCTGGAATCCTGACAAGACTGTAAAAACAAGCCAAAACAACAAGCATAAAAGGGTGAAGCTGGAAAAACGCACTATGCATGGGGGGAAACAGAAAAGGTAAAAAGCTAAGAAAAAATTGGTGTCCTCTGCTGCTAGACACTGAGAGATATACTGAGTAGGAAGACCCAAGTTTATACGAAATGAACGGTCCAATGTGCACTCAGGATGATCTGTCAACTAACCAACTACCTCATTTCTGAAATGTAATCACAGAATTTCTTTAATATAATAAACTAGCTGTACCCGGAGATGCGTTGCTGCGGCACAGTCTGGCTATATGGAAAAGAAAGAAAATAAAAAGTGCACGTGTCTAATATGGTTAATTTCACATTCATTGTCTGATCAGATATAGAGATAGTGTTGTATGCAGGCTCTAGAACACACAACATATAATTGTGTCCTTATATTAGTGGTAGCTTAAAGTGTATTATTAGGCCTAAAAAAATGGTTGTTTATCCCTTACTAAAGTTGTTCGTTTGTTTTTAAAAGCTCAAAGTAAAATTTACTCTAAAAACAAAAAGTAGCCAGTTATAATAGTTGATAATAAATAATATAAAAATGAAAACTGTGAAATCATGTTTCAAGCTCTCTCATATAAAAGTTTCTGTCATTGAAGGTCGTCAGACATTTATTTTAACTGACTTTGGCATCGTGTCCACCCAGACTAAAATGGGATGCAGGAGTTGTAATCAGAAGTAAATGCAGCCGGTGTAATATGTACCACATCACGCATCAAATACCAGTACTACTACTACCACCAGCACCATAACAACTACAAAAACTGTCACTACTGTGTGTTTTACCACCCATCTAGGTCAGTGTAAACTGGGAGCCGTGAGCCAGAGAAGTCGCATGGCTAGTGCTGTCGCCATACTGTTTAGGTTAGGAATGTTCAGGTTCGATTGTGCGCCTTCCCCCTCTGTGTTCCGGGGTCCCGTCATAGGAAAACAAGAATAGACCCAGTGCCTACCCAAAAGCATGTCCAAAGTTTCGACTAATAGGAAGCTTCCTTCAAAGTGGTAATGCATCTGCCTGAGAGTCAAGGAACCAGCAGTCTGCATAAAAATGAGTCAGAGCTGTAAAATGGATGCACACACAACACTCAGGTTCTGGAACAGGACTGCAGTCCAGAAGTGGATGAACAACCAGAACTTTCCGCCAGAGTTTACAGCTGGTGAACACGAAGAAGAAGTAGATTGTGCCCCGGACAGAAAAACGTCATCACCTCACTGGAAGTCGAACCCGTGTTTCCTGCATGACAGCCCAAAGTTGTAATCACATGCATAAAATAATTTATTTACAGCCTTATACTAAAATACAAAAGCAGTTTATCAAATAAATTTTCTTCATCTTCAGCATTCCGAGCCCTTGAGGTTCATTGATGAAGTTATCACCCACTTCCATTTATCTCTCTGGTTGGCCTTCTCTTTCCGGTTAGTGACACCAAGTGTTTGCAGGTCTGTCTGGATATTATCTCTCCATTGTCTTCTTGGTCTGCCTCGTGGTCTATGATTTTCATCTTCCTCTTGTTTTTACTTCTCTGTCAACTGACATTCTTTCAGTATGCCCCAACCAGTTCTGTCTATTAGCTCTCATGATGCCAGTGATCAGTGGTGATTTAAACAGATTATGCATTTCGTTGTTGCTTCTAGCTCTCCATTCACCGCTGTATGCATCTATTCATCGTAAGACTCTGTTTTTGAAAACCTGTAATAAGGCTTCATCTCTTTTAGTTGTTCTTTAATTTTCAGAGCCATATAAAACAACTGGTCTTATCTGTGTTTTATATATTTTTGTTCTTTGTGTTGTGAGAAAGACCCTTTGACTTTAGCAGATGTTGAAGGGCATAGTATATTTTATTTTCAGATTGTATTCTAGATTGTATTTCTTCTCTCAGCATGTTGGAGCAGTTGAAGTTTGCACCCAAGTACTTATATCTTTCTGTTTATCGACTTACATGTGGCCGGAGTTTATATCTTTTCCCTGCCTATTTATTATCATGTATTCTGTCTTATCTTGATTGATAAATAGTCCCAATTTCTGAGCTGATTTTTTGAAAACAGTCAGTGTTTTTACAGTCTCTAGTTCAAACTGTCTCTGCTAGTTAAATTTACACATTGGCATAGCAAGGCCACCATGGTACCCAGAGCCAGTGCAAACAATTTTATGTCACCCCCCCCCCCCTTTTCCACCTCCTATTTTTAATGTTAAAAACATATTTGCATCATTTTGTCCACCCCCCCCCCCCCCTTTTTTCCCTTTTTTTTTTTCCTCAAGTGATGACACCCTGAGTATCCCACAAACCCATTCCTGAGTACACAGTTTGAAAACACATTAAGAGTGATAAACCTGACACCTGACTTTCATACCTGCACATACATGCGATGTATCACTGTTTCCATGGGGAACGTTAATATATCTGCAAGCACCCCGCCTGTGAAACTAGCCACAAGTTCTGGAAAGTATGTTTCATACAAACTTACTTCTCTTCGACCATCTCTTTGCTGTTCCTAAGAAAGAAAATTTATAAAATACCCAGTAAAACACAGTAAAAACAATGGTTACTGCTTTTGTACCATTACTTGTGTTGTCAGTAGGGTTAAAAATTAACTTTTACAATTTTGTCAAATAAAGTGAAAAATTAACAGTTCTTGAGAACTCGTCGTCATTAGTCAAGGTTCCAAACTCAGTGCAGACGGGTCACCCGATTTACTGCGCTGTTCCGGTACCAGCAGAAATCACACAAAAAAGTCTCTCACTGCTCTGTTTAAAAAAAGTTGAACAACTTGTCTCAGCAAAATCTTTTAAGCTTGCACACACAAAGACATAACTTAAAAATGCATAAGGCAGCCGTCACTAACTGTCTCACACCAGAACTGCAGCTTACCATTGGTACAAAACGCCGTCACGAAAGCTTGCACAAGTTATATGCCATTCTGAATGTAATCAGACGGCGGCCATTTTAGTGCAGTCAACAACTCGTTGTCGGCAAAACATGAAAAATTCCTAATGAAATGCACAGCTCACAGAGTTTGCACCAGTCACTCAGTTCAGTAGCTGGGGGATAAAACCGTTGGACTCCAAGCCCAAAAAATGGGGAATTTGCATCAGCAAAACCTACCGGAAAACAACTTTTCAGAGCATTAGTGTTCAGCTGGCTATCAGAGATTTCTGCAGGAAATCTTATCTTGAGATCTATACAGAGCCGGCCCTGATTATGGAACTGAATTAACTATAGTCATACTATTTATTAGTGAGAAACTGTGTGGAAGTTGCAGATAGAGTTGTGGGTTTACAGAAGAATGACAATAATACCACAGTACTAAATTATTTGACACAGTACCAAAGTACCTGATTAAGTACCAAAGTACCATTTATATAGGAATTATGTTGTAGTTCTCTTCTTTCCCTCTCCAAGCACCAAAACTATCACGGTTTACAAGGATGATGCTGCAACTTCGTAACTGTAGAAAGGTTTGTTAACCCTACTGCTCTCACCAGGCTAAATAATGTCTTCTCTGGTTGTGACACAGTCCCATAAATGCCAATATGTGGTCATGTCTGTAGTGGCCTGTTATCGAAAAGCCTAGTTAAATTCCTTACATCCTATGGGCACCTACAGGTTGTTTAATATGCCAGGATGTGAGTACAGTAACTAAAAATAGTGTTTATGGGGTCTTCTTATGACCCCAAGGGCTTTGTCAAAGCCAAGCTGAGACCAAATTTTCCTAGAAGAGGTCTCGTCATCACAGCATCAGTTACTCAATACAGTTTTTTAGGTGCCTGGAATGTATTCCATTCAAGGTTTCATTCTATCCAGTTCACTGACTACCAGCATAGTTATGCAACGGTGTTTTACTGCTTAAAAAAAGTCATACCTACTGAAAGGAACAAATCTTTGTAACATAATGAGTAAAACTGTTCAAATTGCACACAAAAACACTTTAGGGTTCAATCAACTGACAGTTCTTTCGCATCTGGTTCATTGACAGCTTTTAGGTCACCGGGCTTTCCCGTCAACTAGTAAAAAAGGGCCTTAAGGATTTTTTCTCCGGCTTCATCTATGAGTTTTTTAAGCATTCATTAGGCAAAAAAGGTTAAGACTGTATTTCATTGAAAAAGCTTTTGATAGAGTAGGTAGAAACAAATTACGGACTATTCTTGAGGAGTACAGAATACAGGGACCATTGCTATATAACATCATGGCCATGTACAACATTAGCAAAAGTGCAGTAAGAACAGGAGGAAAATTATATATGTTTACAGTCAATACAGGAGTGAAACAGGGATGTGTGCTCTCTCCTCTCTTATGAAACATCTACATAGACAGAAGCCAACAGCAAAGGCTGTCAGGTTTCACCACCTTGCACGATCATCAAAATCATGGATCAGGTCAGTGCTCTTGTCATGCTCCCATTCATACAGCTAAGCTATCTAGGTATTTATCTCTTTGCCTTCCTCCTGCTCTCTTTCCATCAATATTGAGAGAAGTTACCAAGTCCTCTAGCCCATTCCATTTCATACAAAGTTCTCTAGCCCCTTCCATTTCATAACATGTACAAGTGTTTATGTCTAATTTTTGCAAACAGTATGTTTTTCATATGTCTCAAGGAGGACTGCAGAGTATAAACAATAAAAGTAATATCTGCTTGGGAAAGAAAGTGCTAAATATTGCATCTGACATTTCCTCCTCCTTATAACCAATTGCTTTTACTTACTCTGGCTTCCTGCTGCTCCAAGTGCATGGAAGATATAACAGTGAAGTGGGCAAGGGAGCTAACAATGTAATGGGACAGCCTAAAGACCACAGTTGGAAATATCAGCTGCCAGAGAGGAATCTGCCTTGCAATTCTAGGAGCACCTAGTGTGCTGATGCGTAAAGCTCCTTCAAATATTGTGTCCAACACACCCGGTTTCTCATTCACAATATCACTCTGTGAATATAAACATGAACACTGAACACATCACTGCTGTTAATAAATATATCCTTCAAATTCAGCAGTCAATTTTCACAACATAACATATTCACTTTTGAGCTGTGGTAGTGTTGTGGCTAGATGATTGTTTTTTTAAAACTGACCTTGGCTCCCAGTTTGACTGAGCTTCAAATGGGTACCAGTAATGTTTCAGAAATTGAAAGTGGCTGGTGTGATGTTGCCACATCACCCAACAGCTGCTGACTGGTCTATGAAATATGAGTCTAGCTTTCTATGCCCGAAGTGATGCTGATGAAAAAATTCTCCTTTACCTACTTATTTACCTAATGTGTTTCTACTCCTTACAGTTCGAGCCGACTGGCATTGGTAGTGTTGGTAGGCATGTCTATCCATAACCTTCTGACACATGTACTTTCAATCAATTCTGACACAGATAATGTTCCATGGCATGATGTCAGACTGTCATTTATCTTCTCTCCTGGGCTTCCTCTGCTTTTTTTTTTGCCCTCCAAATCTAATCATGGACTCAAGTTTTCTGCTTCTCATGATGTAATAAAAAAAATGTAGATTGTCTCCATCTGATGTGGGCAATCAGTTCTCTTCATGGGTAAATTTTCTTCAAAACATCTTCATTACTCTTTTTATCTTTCCAGGGTATTCTCATAATTTGTCTATAGAACCACATCTCCACAGCTTCCACATAATTTGTTTTCACCAATTGGCCAACACTGCATAATTCACTTCCATATATCAGGATAGGCTTTATATAGCTCTTTAAAATTATCTTTCACACGTCAACTGACAAGAAATCTTGCATATAATATTCTTCATTTTTTTTTAAATGCTGCTCTTGTTTGAGTAATTCTACATTTAACTCTTGTACCAAATGTGTTTAGTTACAGCTAAATGGACTTGTGAGACCTGGCTACAATTCAGGGCAACCTGTATTTAATCAACTACAATCACGACTGGTTTTGGTCTTCCAGAAAACACAAGGAGACTGAAGCTAGAGAGTGAAGTTGAGAAGATGGAGAAGACATGGGGAGAGCTGTATGCAACAGCAAAGGATAGAATGACAACGTGAGTTGGTTGAAGGCCTATGCTTGGGGGTTAGGAAGGCAGAAGAAGAAGAAACACAGCTGTTGGGGCAAGTTGAAGTCAATCATATAAACCAGATTACTGGTCCAGTTGATCTCTCCCCAGGTCTCATAATTTATCTGACACTGTTAGTCATTAAACAGGCTAGGGTCATGGTTTTCTCTGAGCTGAGTTCGACTGAGCCCTTGCTTTTCATGACACAAGCTAGAGTCAAGGTCTGCTGTGTGCTTGGTTGGACTGCAACATTATCCTTCATGAAACAGGCTCAAGTCAAAGTTTGATCTGATCTTAATTGCAACCTTACCCTTAGAAGTCCTAAGTACAAGAGCAATCTTGTCAAAGATACATAAATTAACCACCAGAACAACAAATCCAGAAAGATGTTCAAAGAACTCAAGGCAGCAGAATGAGAGCGGGAAGGCTAACCTGGTCAACAAATGCCTGCAGAAGTTGGATGTATTAGGTGAAAGGTGCAAATTTCACAGCCATGCCATAAAAGGTCACAACGCAATTACATCTTCAGATGGACACAGAAAAGATCAACTTAGAGCATATGGTTCAAAAGATAAGAACGTGAATCTATAAATATAAAAATCAATGTTTGTGTGTTTGTTTGGTCTCTATAGACTCAAAAACTACTAAACCGATTTAGCTGAAATTTTCAGGATATGTTTGTTGTGATACCGGATTTTGAACCGTCGTGGTTTAAAATTCAACCTGTCACTGTTAGAGATAGGTGACCACAATTTATGCCAAAATATACGCAACTAATATTTATAACTTTAGTGATTTCTAATTATAGCCACGTTAGTAATTGCGCATGCGCCGTATTTACCATTTGCCGGCAAGTTACGTTCAGCCAACGCCTTCTCTAATACATAGAGTAGGTCGTGGTACAGCAAACAAGACTATCTCTATATTTGCCACAATAACCATATTAAACACGATTTCTATTTTCTGTTTTTTTTTTCAAACAACCTTCGATGGGGGGGGGGGGGGGGGGGGGGGGGGGGGGGGGGGGGGGGGGGGGATCGTGGACTATCTCGACATCGGCGCAGACAGTGACTGCGACATTAACTTCATTAACCGTGTTAGACACGTGCGATTTCTATTTCATTAATTTATCTGGAGTATCTGTCTACGAGAAAACAATTGCCTGCGGTTTTGAATTGTGTTTTAATCGCGACACAGTGGTAGGGACACATATGTCTAATAGTTGTGTTCTCTTTTCGTTGTTCCGATTAAGTGGCTGCTTGGTCGAATGGTTAGAACACTGGGTTCAAGTGCGGTAGACCTGGGTTCGAATCCGCAGTAGTTAAATTATTTTTTTTACCCCGGACTAAAATAATATCCTCATCTGCTCTGTCGTGGTGACAGCACTAGCCATGTTGCCTTAATATTTAAAAAAAAAAAAAATAAATAAAAAATAAAAAATAAAAAAAAAAACAACAAGTAAATGGGTAAACCATTTAATAATAAAATTTGACCATTTCGCATACTTATGATTGCATTGTTAAACTTTCCGATTGCATGGTTACACTGAAATTTTATAGATTTTCATTTAGATTTAGTTATTTCATCTGTGTTGGAATTCTAATATTTATAACTTTAGTGATTTCTAATTATAGCCACGTTAGTAATTGCGCATGCGCCGCCGTAGTCAGAACGCAAGGCTTCCGCCATTCGCCGGCGAGTTACGTGCAGCCAACGCCTTAATACATAGAGTAGGTCGAGGTACCGCAAACAAGACTATCTCTATATTTGCCACAACAACCATATTAAACACGATTTCTATTTTCTGTTTTTTTTTTTTTTCAAACAACCCTCGATGGGGGGGGGGGGGGGCAATCAAGGACTATCTCGACGTCGGCGCAGACATTGACTGCGTCATTAACTTCATTAGACAGGTGCGATTTCCATTGTCTTTCTTTTCTAAAAACCTTTGATGAGGGAGAGGGTACTAGGTGGATTTAGTTGTAGGGGGGGGGGGGGGGGGGGGGGGGGGGATCCAAGACTATCTCAAATTACGCCACAGCAACGCGTGGCCGGGTACAGCTAGTATAATATAACAATAAGGAAATATGTAACAGATCGAAAGACTACTGTAAAACTGTTAAACTTCAAAACTACTGGAAGAGACACTAAAATGTGAATCAAATACAGAAAAGCCTGATTCTGAGGAAACACTGCATGTCATAACAGTTTCAAAACAATTTGGCAATTGTGGTGACAAGAATTACTCTGAGCTAAAACAAACTGTTCAAGTGTTATATTCAAAGATATACAAAATATTCAAACAAGTTTGGAAGACAGAGAAATTACCCCATGAGTGGAAAGAATCAATATACCTACTATTTTCACTAGCTTTTTACTAACCTGTACAGTTTCAACAAGACTTGCTGCCAGAAATGGAGTTGTTATGGCAATGACCAATCTGCAGAATTAAAAATAAGCTTGTCAAAGCAAAAGTCATTCTCTCTTTTTCTTCCTCTGTTACTGCTTTCAGTGTCAAGAGAGGTATAAGGATCTGCTTCTTGCTCTTCTGGCTGCCTCAACTACAGACATATTGCAATATTGTAGAGTTTCTCTGTTTTTTTTTTTTTCTTCTCTTTTTCTCTTTTTCTTGGCCTACCTCTTGCTCTAAGTTCTTTTCCCCTTTTGGTGTATGCCTTGTAAGGTGTCACAAGGCATTCTCGCTAAGTCAGCAAACCAGGCTATATGCTGTCTTTGTATGTAATTTATTATTGGCTCTGTGTCGACTTTTTCTCTTATGACTTTATTCCTAATTCAATCTCTTCTGGTCACTCCCGTAGCCTTTCATTCCATGATCACTAATTTTTTTTTTCTAGTTTTTTGTGTGTGTCTGGCACTGGTAGCACAGGCTGAAGATAATATGCTTTGTATGAGATGTTTCTTCACACTGAATGAGACGACTTATGCTGAAAAAAGGGAGACTAGCTGTCCAATTACTGGGTTTGCTTTACTGCATAGGATGTTAATTTCTTTGTTCAGTTCGCCATATTTCATGAATGTTGTCCCCGAATATTAAAACTCACATGTCTGTTTAATACCTTTTTCCTCTACTGCTATATTTAACTGCTTCTTATTTCTTCCTTTTTCAGTTCCTTCCTTAGCATTCATCAGCTGTGAACTTCGGTGGAAAGTTATGGTTATTTATCTACTTCTATACTTCGCTCTTGTTCCAGAACTTGAGTTTTGGAAGAACAATTACTTTACAGATCCAGCTTACTTGTATGCAGACTGTTGGTTCCGTTCCCCACCTCTCAGGCAGATGTTCAAAGGAAGCAACCCCTAATTAATCACTTTTACAGTGGGGCAGTGACTCTGTTCTTTTTTACCCACAAAATGGGATCTTGGATAAGAAGGACTTTCTTCCTACTGAGTAGAGGGGAGGCAAGGAAAATCTTTGGACAAAGGAGAAATAGATACGCTTTGGGGTGGCCTAAAACAATATGGAATTAGCAAACCCTTTACTGAAGACTGTGAGAGTTTATATACATCAAGTAACAGTTGTGTACAAACAAAAACATGTACATTAAATCCTTTTGAAGTTAATTTTCTCCCAGTGTGAGTTCCAGAGTGGGGAAAACAAGAATAGGCCCACTGCCTGCCCAAAAGCATGTCAACTTTTTGGGAGTTTCCTTCAAAGTCAGAGTACATCTGCCTGAGAGGCAAGGAACCAACAGTCTGCATGCAAATAAGCCAGACCTGTGAAATGGATGCGCACGCAACACTCAGTTTCTGGAACAGGACTAGTCCAGAAGTGAACGAACAACCAGAACTTTCCACTGGAGTTTACAGCTAGTGAACGTGAAGAAGAAGTTAATTTACGAGTACAACAGGGATATGTGTTACTTTTCATAACATACATATCGGAGCAGAAGAGAGTGAAGATGATGATGATGATATTTCAGAATTATTATTTGCAGATGACCAAACATAAAAGCAGAAAAAGAAAAGTGTTTACAGAAACCATCTCAATCAAGTCAATACTAAGTGTTACTACACTGATGTGGGGAGTGGTCGTGGTGTAGCAGCTAGATGCTTGCCTGCAGATTGAAAATCATGGGTTCGTGTCCTGACAGAGCCAGCTTTTTTTCTCTTTATTTTTTTTCTTAAAAAAATGATCTTGGCTCCAAGGTCAACCCAGACTTGAGTGGGTACCAGGTGCATTCCTGGAAAGTAAAGGCAGCTGACATGACGCTGACTACATCCACATCATGCACCAAGTGCTGATTGGTCTTTAAAATAAAGGTGTCTATATGCCCATTACACCTGAAAGTGTGGAAAAGGTCCTTTACTTTACTTTACTTTTTACCACGCTGATGCACGTGGAGGTAAAAAAGAAGGTGAAGAACAAAGACATTATGACCATTATTCTAGAACTTACCCTTTCATCAGGACATGCCCACCAAGTCTTTTTAATGGAATGTGACGTGAAACTTCCCTTAAAATAAAAACAAAATGATCAGGAGTTGTTATAGAACTCTTATCAAATATGAACATCTTATAGGTTATCTCTTAGAAATTTTGAATAGGCTTTATTAAAAAGTTTTTTTTTTTTAAACCCTTATAGCAGTGGTTTTCAAACTTTTTTTGCCGCAGCACCCTTGTCAGGTCAAATTTTATCGCAGCACACCTAACCTTAAAGTGGTTTGAATACTTAGTAAGAGAAGAAAAAAACAATGTACATTTAGTTAATTTTACCCTCAGATCACTTGACCCCAAAAGTTTGCTCCTTTACCTGTTTTTTTTTTTTTTTTTATGTAAGTGTACATTGAGAATGCACTGCAGACTTGCAAATACTTAGCATTGTCTTTTGAATACACCTGAATCCGGAACTCTTCTTGACTTCCTTCGCAGTATTTTTAACTGTTGTCTTCGCTGATCTCAAGCAAATTTACAAATCTCTTTATTATTGCAGCGGAACCCCTGGCACACGCTTGCGGCACTCCTGGGTGTTTGAGAACTGCTGCCTTACAGTATGCTAACATGAATAAGGATCAGAATATATTTTATACATGGAAAAAAATACTATATTTAAATCAAGACTTTAAAAAGAAGGAAAAGATAGATTTCAACTTGGAATTTCAGTTATCACTATTATGCAAACAGCGGGGAATGGAGAGTGAGAAGCAACAACGAAATTTATAATTTGCTTAAATCACCATTGATAACTGGCATCATTAGAGCTAATAGACTGAACTAGTTGGGGCATATTAAGAGAAAACTGTATACACAAGGGAAATGAATGGTAGTAGACCATAAGGCAGACAAAGAAGACGATGAAGAGATAATATCCAGACAGACCTGCAAACACTTGGTGTCACTAACTGGAAAGAGAAGGCTAACCAGAGAGGTGAATGGAGGCGGGTGATATCAGCAGTAATGAACCTCAAGGGCTCGAAATGCTGAAGAAGAAGACTATCATCATTTTTTTTTTTCAACTTATGCAACTCTTGGATATGCTGGTAAAACTTTATGAAAAAATTTATTTTTTTTATTTTACAAATAAAAAGTGAAAGTAAAAGACTCTTTCCACACCTCTGGAGCTTTAGGCATATAGTGCTAGACCATGTTTTTCTTTTAACTGACCAATTGAGAGCCAAGGCATCACACCAGCTGCCTTAAATTCCCAAATCATAACCCGGTACCCAATATAGGTGGGTTTAACCTGTGAGTCAAGGTCAGTTTTGATGACCACCACAAAAAAAAATGTCTCTATGTGTGTATTCACTGGAACTGTAACACCAGCACTTCAGAAAATGACAACATTCATGCCCAAACTTACTGCCCATATTATAGCCCAAATCAAACATGCTTGACCAACCTTGTTGTCCAGCCTTGTCACCTGATCTTTTTGCCCAGCCATGTGACCCGATCTTTTCTGGACAATCTTTGTTACCCAACCATATTGCCCAATCTTGTCCAACCTTGCTACTCTAACTTTTTTTCTTTGTTGGCCCAGTCTTGTGCTTAAGATGCTATTTCTTAAATTATTTTTTTCCACTCTCTGGTTTCTGTATCTTTGTCCATAACTAATATTATTGTTGCCATTTAGAATAATCTTTTGCTGGAATATATTAAATGATTATTATTATTATATTTGCACATTAAATGCTTATTTCATTGTTACTGTTTTGCCAACTTGATCAGCCGGGGGTCATACAGCTGTACTTATAAACACTGACTGGTCTATCAAGCTACACATTTTCAGTCTATTATTTGGGCTAGTTATAGTACTGCTTAAATTTGCTTAACTATAAGCGAGGTGGTGGTGTATGTGAGTTACGACATTTTAATTCAAATTTCATTTAGGCCATTTTAATTCAATTTACATTCACTCTCTCATTTCATGCATATTTCCTTTCTCCCCCATTACTATTTTATTATTGTAACTCATTTTACTCTTGCTTTGTCATAATTGTTTTCACTGTTGCAACTTAAAATACTCTGGTGTTAAAAGAACTTATACTGTATTGTTAAACTGCACTTACATAATGTCTGACGTAAGTGAGCACTGGCTCAGTAATTAGGCTTAGATTAGGACAAATGAATGTATGCCATCTTCTGGGAAAACTGCCTGAACTGTCCTTTATTCTTAGTCACAATTTTCAGATGTTGACCTTAGCGAAAGTAGATTAAATGACAACATTGACAAACTTGTGATGTACTAGAGTCGTCATTACAACAAGAATTAAAATAATGTACTCAAATGGAGTAGTGCAAACCGTATGCAAATAAACATTTATAAAACAAAACCTATGCTAACAATGACCAGACAAAGCTATTTAGTTTAAATTTACAGACAGCTTTAGTTCTACATTGGGAGGACTCAAGTGGAAAGTGTAATTGAGCAGAAAGCACTGGGACTGATCACTGATACAAATCTAACCTTCAACTCTCATGTACAAGCACTTGTGAAACCAAACAGCTAAAAAGGTTAAAACACTAGAAAGATATTCTATATTTCTCACATCCAGACACATAGAGACTTTTTCTTCTTCTGCCTTTCTAGCCCCCAATTCATGCCATGTCATTTTATCCTGTGCTATTGCATGCAGCTCTCCCCATGTCCTCCCCATCTTTCTAACCTCATTCCCCAGCTAACTTCTCCATGTGTTTTTTGGCCTTCCTTTATTCCTATGCTCCTGTGGGTTCCAATGCAAAGACATTCTAGTTATAATGTTCTCTGGTTTTCTTATTTCCCTTACTACTTCCATTGTTCTTCCTATATCATAGAGAGTTCTAACATATCCAGGTGCTAATTCTGGAGGTTTTCCTAGGTGAGAGGTAGTACGTCGACGATCCGGACTCCTTTCGGCTTTCTCCACACCGTGTCATACTTCTTCTACTTGAAGAACCTCCCCTCATCTTGGTTGGCTGGTTTTACATGCTTCTCATTATGACTTATCTATGGTTGGCTGGTTTTTGTGTTTGTTTTTACAAGATGAGGTAGCTAACCTCAAGCCCAACCCTACCCTTAGTCGCCTCTTGCAACATGCCTGGTAGGGTGCAGTGTACCTATTCTTTACTTCCCATGAGGGTCCCGATGACACACGGGTGACATGCAGACTACTGCTCTACAATATGGAAAGCTTGCCCAGCTCTGTTATCAAGCAGCTCACGTCGCTGCAAAATCCCGCCATTCGCTTAATAAGTTATAATCATGGGACAGTCATTTTCACAGCATATAGAAGTTTTATGTTACTCCTGCTTAGTGAATGTCTACTTTTCAATAAGGCTAACTTTATTCACAAAATATTATCCAAAAGATCCATGTTACTTATGGCTGTTGTTTAAATAACATAACAAAGGCTTAAAAATATTATGTATCCCTAAACCTAAAGTAAATCTATACAAAACAATTTTGGTATACTCTGCAGCTCAATTCTCAATCTGGTAATCTGGTAATCCTAGTTTCAGCTTCACAACAAACGGGTCACCCCACAGTTGCTCCGCTCCTGTGCCAACGAAAAACAAACGCAGCTCACAGTGTCACGCCATGCACTCAACTCAGAAGCTGGGCGACGAAACTACCAGTGTACCTATTCTTTACTTCCCGTGAGGGCCCCGGTGACACACGGGTGACATGCAGACTATTGCTCTACAATATGGAAAGCTTGCCCAGCTCTGTTATTAAGCAGCTCACGTCGCTACAAAATCCCGCCATTCGCTTAATAAGTTATAATCATGGGACAGTCAGTTTCACAGCAAATAGAGGTTTTATGTTACTCCAGCTTAGTGAATGTCTACTTTTCAATAAGGCTAACTTTAGAGTGAGAATTCTCAATCTATCTTCCACAACAAATCCAAAATATCCCTACAAATACAAATGGAAACTGTTCAAATATTATCTGAGCACAGATTACATGCTCCCATAGAAAATACAAGTATTTTAGAAGCAGTGCACACTTTCCCTAGATTTATTACAATTATTAAGGTTTACTATAGTTAGAAATGTGCACATCCTAGTGCTTATATTGAAAATGTTGATTTATTAATGTTTACTATTATTTGATGTAGGAATGAATTGTTGTATGAAAGGATGAAGACTAGAAGGCAGAATGTTAGATGGGCCTGCGTGCCCAAATCTTCACCCATTCAAAATAAAATCTGTTGGTTTCTTCGTACACTCAATGCTGCCCAATCTTGTAGAGGTTCAATTTTCATGCATACACAAACAACTACGAAGAATAAATTATACTAACTCTACCTGGGAAATGAAGTACATTCACTGAAAATAGCTTCAGACATTGTGGTTATGCCACGTAGAATAAACACACTGCCAAGGCCCTTCCACAGTACAACAATTCCCTTAAGAAAAACAGCATGAAATGTACAGTGTAAATTTTTTTGGTGACATTTTCATTGTAATTTTCATCTTTTTTTAATACAAGTAACAGAGACTAGTGGCAGGTGATTTAATTTTAACCATATAATTAACTAAGAGCCCACTTGTCTAAAAATATGGCGAGCATTATCTACTCAATACACATCATAGCATGAAAAGGAGCTCTTTTCCTTACCAGCTAATGTGAGATAGCTACTTTTTTTATAACAAAGAACTAACAAACCTGACACTGAGAAATACAATCTTCAAATTACTAAGGATGAACAGGGATAACACAAACATTACACAAAACACAGTATGGCTTGTTGACTGAATATCTATTCTATCACTGTGGCTCATCCATCATAAGTGATGAAGATCACGTAGCATTCAAAAAGTAGTAATAATCAATGATTGCGACTACAAAGATGACTAATGAGTCCATTTCTATAGAATTAAATTACCTAATATCCAAGAAATTTTAGCAAGTATAGTTTTTTCCTACTAGCTAATGTTAACTTGTATGTATAATTAGGAAATTTTAAAAACAAACAACTACAAGAAAAAGAAACTAGACATTGAGAAACATAATGTTTAACTACGGAGGAAGGAATAAGGGTAACTAACAATAATTTATTAAATCAGATGAATTCAAACAGGCGGAGAAGTAAGAGAAATTCTGGACAACCACTGGTGTCAACAGTTATAGGACAAAGATGTACTATACTGGCCATATTCTGAAGGAAGGGAGCAGATAATCCCTAAACAGACACTGAAATGGGAAACAAATGGATGAGGAAACAAGGATGTCCAAGAGAAACCCTAAAATAAATGTTGCTGAGAGAGGTCAAAGGTGCCGGACTGAATTCCATATATGATACTGACACAACTGCACAATATACAGAAGGGAATTAAGGACTACTTTTAAAAGTTAGTTGCATATCCTTTACATTGCTGAACCAACCCCAGCATTGGCTGTTGTGTTTCTTCTGGGCAAATTTATGTCTAGTAGTTTGCTATTTCTTTCTGGATGGTCAGCTTTTCGATACAACTGTCAAAACCAACACAAGGTGCAGGCCCCACAGCGGGGATCGAACCCGGCACACCAGCACTATGAATCGTGTGCACACCGCCTTAGCCACGACCAGGACTATACTACAAGCTCCACATGATACATAATGGCAGAGCAGTTGGATGATGATGACAACGAAAAAAAAAATTACAGTTCACTGCAAGGCTTAGCCGACTTTATCTCAGTGCTTCATCAATAGAATTTGTATCTGTCAAACTCACAATCATAGAACATTGTATGTAATGGCTAAGATGTGATGGAAAGTTTGACTATTTAATCACCCCCCCCCCCCCCCAACCCCCTTTTTTTCCTTTTTTTTATCTGTAAGATTAACACCTAAGGATGATGATCAAACAGGTACAAATCCCAAAAATCCTGTCCATCCAGATATCAAAGTTCTACAAGGGCACCCAGTGAGTACAAAGCAATTTGATTTCACAAACTATAAACGGTATTTCTTGGAATGTTCTTACTTGTGTCCGCAGGATGTTTATCAAAGTTTGGATCAGTGTCACTGGTGTCAGATGGTACCAGGCACCTGCATGATGAACCTGGATACAGATGGCACATATGATAATGTTAGCAGATATAAAATTAGAGAAGATGCAAAAGAAGAGAGGAGGAGGAGAGAGATCAGGAGAAAGAGAAAACAAGATAATGAGAGAAAAAAAAATTTCAAAATGTACACTGAATGTTTATAAACAATTAATAATTACAGATTTCTCAGTGTGGATTCCAGTGCCTTCTGGCGGAAAAGAAATGGGGGAGGGGGGAGAGTTGTTGGGGTAGGGGTGTAACAAACATACTGTCCTAGGTGACAAGTAAAGAGCTTGCTGAAATCAGATGAGTTTGGTCAATAGGAGTATATACTACAGCCTAGCTGTAAACCATAACACGATACACCAACTATCCAAAGGCTATCACACAAGAAGAAGAAGATGAAGAATTGACACTCATCTTGGCAGTTGGGTACAATGTGGCCTGCATGCTTGACCACCATCACTGTGGTCATATGTTCAAATCCACATCAAGCTACAAAAAAAAATTACCTGATCTTCCAACCTAAAACTGGTACCAGAAATTGTCCTGGGGAGTCAAAGTGGCTGGCCTGATAATAAAGACACCACCCAGTGACTGTCACTTAGTCATTAAAAATGTGGAGCATACACCGCATGTCCATGTATCTAAAGATAGGGAAATTTAATCTTACCTTTTATTGTAACACTTACCTGGGCATACATTGGGGAGGATACTAGGGGGGAAACTCTTATCCTAGGACATTTTGTTGTTTCAAGATCATAGTATTGTGAAGCCTGCTAAATCTTAGTCTTAGTCATTGTTTCAACTTCACTGCAATCAGCTTTCCCCATACTAGCTCCGTTCCTGTGCCAGTGTAAATCAAATAAAATGTCCCTCCTCACTGTCCTTTTTAAAAAACTGGTGAACAAAAAATTGTCCCAGCACAATCCACAAATATGCGCATGCACTAAATGCATATGGCAGTTGCTAGAGAAACTAAAGCCAACAGTTGCCACCAGAAATGTAGTTTGTTGTACTCTGTCACAAGAAGATGGCTAGACATAAGGTATTTCACCATCCCACAGGTAAACCAACTACCAGCCATTTTGAATACCATACACAACTGCTGCACAAGCGAAAGGCCTTCCACATGAGAAACACAGCTCACGGGGCTGCACCAAGCACTAAACTCAGTAGCTCTGGCAGCGAAACCATAGACTTCTGTCCCTATGTGGAAACTGCATTAGCAAAGTGCTTTCGGAAGCAAAATAACTTCGAAGCTAAACATTCCGTGATTAATCCTTTATTTTGAACGGAAGATGACTAGTTCTACTTCATGTCTGGACTGACAGTTTTTCTCATCCTAGGACGAGGAAATGTAACCTCAAAACCTAATGTCATGGCAGGGTAGACCAGCCCCTTGGCCTCAGTTGGCAGTTGGACTAGGGGGAAAGTTACCATATGCAGAGTGCTGCTCTTCTGATTTGGCAGCTTGTCACATATTTTGTTCCACACATAATGGTGATAGCAGTTGGCCCTAGCTGGGTTGGCAATGGGTCTAGGATGGAAGCTACCGTAAGTTGACAGAGTGCTGTTTTTTTTTTTTTGTTCTGGCAGCTTCTGTGACATATTTTGTTCCATGCATATCGGTGTTACCTTTCCCTTGTAATAAACATGCTGCATGTAAAACATATGGTATCTACATTACTGCCAAGACTTTGTGCTATGGAGAGATGGAAACTTTTTTCTCCAGGCTTTAATTGGTCTGTGGTTTCTATGCTTCCTTATGACACAGTGGAACACTATCATCTAGAAAGATGGAAAGGTCACAAAGATAACAAAACACTTACCTGACATTGTCGCCTTAAGACAATGCATGGATGTAGAAGGATCTGTTCTGCACATGAGCTGTGAGGAAAAAATAGGAAATTTTACTAACTGGCTTTACATCACTAGCATTAACTAGGGATTCTAGCACATCACTCATGGGTTAACACCTTATCTTTCTCAGATGTACCTGCATCACTCAAATACTGAAACAAGACTAAAGTCCAGACACAGATGAACAACCAGAAGTTCACATTCATTTTCAAATAACATGCAACAAAAGAGTTCAGCCCTTCCTCTATATCTGTATTTTCAAAGAAGATGATTAAACGAAAAAGACAAGGGATCAGCTGCTTACGTATCCAAACTCACCGTTATGAAAGTCAGACCTGGCTAGAACCCAAGCAGCCAGGGTAAAGAAGATCTCAACATGTGAGATGAGGTTCCTGAGAACAGCATTCTACATAATTAGAATGTCCCAATATGGGTTCTGGGACATCAGTTGGAATAGGGAGCGAGGGGTGTGGTTTGGAGGGTGGGGTGTCACTGCTTCTAACAAGTATGTTCTAAAAGGTGATTAATTAAGGATCTGCTGAAATCATGTGTTGAATTCCTTCCTTTTACTGATTAGATCTGTTTTATTCACTTAAAAATTAATTCACATTCAGTGTTCTACTTAAACATGCCCTTGTTTGATACACACAAAACATGTCACTTAAGCATCATGCAAAGTCAATTAACCTTACCTGCAGAATTTTATGCTGAGATCTGCCAGTGACTTTATTTGGTCTGAAATATTAAAAGTGTTAAATATATGTAAGGATATCATTATCGGTACATTCTTTATAACAGTCTTATAACAGAGCAAAATATTTCAGCTTACATCGCTAGTGGTCTACAATTCTTCTGACTTTTGGTTTCCTGTGCTTACATAATTTCTGCAGCTGTGATTAAGCTTTCCCCAGGCTTAATCTTATCAATAGCTGCGTTCAATTATTCCATCCTGATGTTATCATCCACGTGGATGATTTCCTACTCTGTAGTGAGGTCCATTATTTCTGGGACAAGGATTTTCCTCAACAGCGAGGAGCTCTGAGAAGTATTCTTTCCATCTGTCCATGATATCATTTATGGTAGTAAGCATGGACTCTTTCTCCTTCCTCATGTTCTTGAGGGTCTTGTGGAGATGTTTTTGATTTTCTCTTGCATTCTTTTTCAACTTTTTCCAAATTCTTCCCATGTTTTCTGTTTTGCATTAAGCACTATATTTTGGGCCTCTGTTCTGATTGTCACATATTGTTTATTTTTCTCTAATTACTCAGCTGTATTCCTAGCTGACAGGTATTAATTCCATGTCTTTTTTCTTGTCTCCTATTTTTCAGTTTGACTTCTTCCATCCACCAAAGTGTCCTATGTCCCTTCTTTTCACTTGGGACTTTGCCACATGCTTCTACTGCAGCTGCTGTGAGAATATTCATGAATCTGCACTAGAGGGTTTCAGTGTCCTGTGACTGTTCTTCAGTTTCTATTGCTTTCATTATAAACTCCTATTGCTTTCATTATAAACTCCTGGTACCTAGCCTTAATCTCTGGCTTATATGCCTTAATCCTCATCCCTTTCAGTTGTTTGGTTTCTTGCATGGTTTTCGGTGTTGCCTTGTTGAAGCATTTCTTGCAGTTGTTCTCTTTATTGTGACCAGACTGGTCACTTCCAATCTCTGGTTCTCTCATGACTCTCACACACTTGAATGAACTTTTCTTACTACAGCATAGTCAAAGATGGATTTCTCATTTTTTCAAGGTTCACATCTATATTACATAAAATATACTTATTCTGTGAAATGCTGCTTCTGCTCTAGTTATTCTTTATTTAATCCATCTACTCTTACCAGGGTACCTAGGACTTGAAACATACTGGTCTGCTACAGATATGTCCAGATTATTTTGTATTTTGGAAACGACATCTCATATATCAAAAGATAGTAAGATATTTCTTAATTTATATCAAAATCTTATCCCTAATTAGTCACGAAACAAAGGCTTCCCCCCCCCCTCCTCCAAATGTTCTTCTTAGCATTCACTGGCTGAACTCCAGCAGAATGTTCTGGTTGTTCATCCACTTCTGGACTTTGGTCTTGACATAAAGCTTTTTGCATGTACATCCAATTTACAGATCAGGCTTTTCTGTATGCATACTTTTGGTTCCTTGCCTCAGGCAGATACATTTCGATTTGATGAAAACAACTCTAAGTAGTAGCCTCCTACGACATGCATGTACTGTGTTGGGAAGACAGTGGGTCTTTTTTTTTTTCTTTTCTTCTCTAAAAGACAGCCATGGAACCCACTACTTGGGCGTAATCGTCTTCCTTTACGATTATTCTCCATCACTGAGTTGTATTTATACTTAAACACTTTCGGTGTTCGCTTGGCTGACTTAATTTTTAGACCGTTTTCAGACACAACGGCAAAACCAGAGCTGGCGACGGAGACGGCACTAGATTCAATATAATCAAACAGTCTGCCTGCTGTCTGAAAACTGTAAATTGCTAACACTAACACTGCATCTGGTGCGACAGTGTCACTGGCTCCAGTTTTGCTGGTGTGTGTGAAAACTGTCTTTTTAACTTTTAATGTTAACTCACTCTCTTGCAGTTGCTGCCCCTGTGATATATCTGGCAGTTTCTCATATTCAAAATCTGTGTTCGGTCTAGCTCGATTAACGTTCTCATTGTTTCTTTCCAAGAGTGAATGATTAGAAAAATCATTCATCACGAGAGTCCCCATTGAAAAAGATACTGGACCACTGATATATTATTTATAAGTTCGTTAACAACTTTAAAGTAAGTTCACTTCTCTGGACCGTTGTTTCAAGAAATCCGGAAGTTCCGTTTTCTTTAGCATCGTCTTTGTATTTTCCCTCCTTTGATTTCGAATTCATAATTTTTCAGCCATGAAAAACACCCCAGTTAGACTTTTATTGCGTCCCAGTGTGGGGTGCAATATTTTTTTAAAGCCCCACCCTGGCTGTTACCGGGGCTCCTAATATAACATAACCTATGTGTTGAACATGGTTTCTAGGACCGGTCCTTGTGTGATCCTCATCCGAATGGTAGATTTTTGTGTCACCAGGTGTTGGGGTTAAACATCAGTCAGTCACCCTAGTCAGGGGCGCTGGGACATAGCACCTTTAGCCACCCCTCCCTCACTTAAAGAATAAATGTAATGAGGTGTGGTCTGAGACTTCTAAATGTGTATGGAAACAAAGCTCCCCCCCCCCCCCAAACAAGCATGGAAGTTATTTTTTATACATAATATATTATATTTATTTGCCATCCAGTCCATTATTATCATTATTATTATTAACACTTCAAGAAGGCTTAGACTAACTGGGTTGCCTATTTCTAAAAATATTTTAGGAGGTTGAGTGTCCCCACCTAAGCGTTTTCTTTGTGTTGACACCCCTGAACCCAGTAGATGCTAATTATTCCAGTAATGTTCTGTAGCTGTAGATTTAAGTATACTTACTTATTATTACATAGATTCACAACTCTAATTTTCAGTATATGATGCGAGATAATCTGCAGACGGAAACTTATCCCAAAGGAACTTCTATAAATGCAATTTATATTTATGGTTTTTATCAATGCCGTCGTTAGGTTTACAATTGAGATCAAGGTACTCGGAACTCTACAGTAGCTTGTTGACCAGCACATGCGAGAACTGATGGAGATATTATAAAATACATGAAGCTTTAAGTACAGAAGATCTACAGTTGTTTTCATACTCTTTGAATGTGGCTCGTGTTTCAGCGCACTAGTACGCTAAGTACTATGTATGCGCAGTAGCTATTTTCAAGTTTATGTTGGGTAGCTTATGGTCAGAAATTGCTTTTCTTCCAGAATATTTTTCTCTAAAAAAACGAATTTAAAACTGCATATTTATGAGAAACATTGTGTAATAATTTACTCATTTATAGAATAGTCAAAGCTCCTGTATTTTTATGTTGAAAAAAGTCGTCCCTATGTGGGATGCAATTTGTTGTTATTTAAAGCCGAACACTGGCTTCTGTCGGGAGCCCTGAGTATAGCCGTAGCATATATATAGCCTAGCCATATATATAGCCTAACGGATGAAAGTGGTTTCTGGGACCTCTCCACGGGTGGATACTCACCCGTATGGTGTCACTTTGTGTCACCGGGTGTTTATCGCTTGTGTGATGTCCTAGTGGGGTATAGCTACCCACCTCCTGTGTTTCAAATTCGCATCGAGATGAGGGATTTTTTTATTTAAAGTTACCTTGGCTCAGAGGTAGAACCAGCCTAAACTGGTTACCAGGTAAAGTCCTGGGAAGTAAAGGTGATAAGCGTGATGTTGACTATGTCACCAATGGAATTCTAGTTAGTCCATTTCCGATGAGCTACTATCTTAAGAAAGGACATTTATTTTATTACTATGAGAATGTTGATTTTGGCGTACTCCGCCTTAGCACACACACAAAATCGCTGAAACAAAATCGAAAAGATCGTGCATTAACAGAATAAGAACACGCTTTAACAAACAAAAAATACGTAGATCCATTAACCTATTATTATTCGTCATTTTTTGCCAAAGAAACGAGTTAATGGGATTCGCTGGTCACCTCCAGTTATCGCACTTCTGGGCAGTCTCATTGACCGCCGACAGTATGTCTGAGTAAACCAAGTTTGGTCAAGTGGCTCAAGGACACTGCTAATTGCAGGCGGACTCTACCTCTGATGGAGTGGTTCTCAACATTGTATAATCCAGGACTACCTATGTGTTTAAAAAAAAAAATACATGTTTTCTCTCTAATGAGAATCATATCCATTGGATATTTTCTCCAGGTATGCCGGTGTGATGGGAAATGAGCAGTCAGAAAGACTGGCTGGCTCTGCACCACTTGGTGGTGAATTGAGGAATGACAAGTTAGATATTGTGAGGGCTCTTTAGGAACGGGTGAACAGTGCAGATGTGCAGATAGATCATTACGGTCTGAGGAGAATGGCGCTGCGAGGAGTTACCAGGGGATCTGGCCGACGCTCAACACTCAGGAGAAGGATGAGACGGATATAAAATCAGACGGTCACAGGTACCATCGGAAATGGAATGCTTTGTTTGCTGCTGAAGATGGGGACTGCGCACTTATGGGAGTGTTTCGAGTGGTGTGATGTCGATTCTTAATTCAACATTTAATGAGAAGCCTATGGCTGAGTGGTTAGAGTACTGGGCTCTCGTGGAGGGAAATTCGATCCTCGATAAAAGATAAAGATTTATTTTTCTAAACAGGGGGCCAAAAAAAAATCGACTTACAATGTTCGTGACCACTACACTAGCCATGTAGCCTTGAATAATCTTCAGGGGGAGTAAACAAACATATTAAAGACGAAAAAAATGCTCACAAACATATGCTTAATTTCAGTACGTAAAAGAAGAACAGACACATAGTCAATGTATGTAACTGCAATAACCCGTGACCTTCAAAAGCTGGAGGAAGTTGTGTAATAACCTTATAGTTAGATCTATCTTGCACTTTGCCTGCCGCTGTGATTCGGATAACGTGTATCTCATGCTCCAAGCGGTGGTAGTTGTTCAGTTGGATTAAACGGGTCTGGTTACTATATAAGGACATAGAAATAATTAGTATAACTTTAATGCATTTTACAGAAGTAATAGATGCTGAACTGAAATATCGTTGTTATGTCGTTATCGGGTGTATTAGGCATATAGGGCTAGACCTATATTTTATAGACCAGTCGACATTCAGTGGGTGA